CTCCTCCTCCTTCTCTTCCTTCTACTTCTTCTTCTTCCTCCTCCTCCTTCTTCTTCTTCCTCCACCTCCTCCTCCTTCTTCTTCTTCTTCTTCTTCTTCCTCCTCTTCCTCCTCCTCCTCATCCTTCTCCTCCTCCTCCTCCTCTTCCTTCTTCTTCTTCTTTCTCCTCTTCCTCCTCCTCTTCCTCCTCCTCCTTCTCTTCCTTCTACTTCTTCTTCCTCCTCCTCCTCCTTCTTCTTCCTCCTCCTCCTCCTGCTTCTTCTTCTTCTTCTTCTTCTTCTTCTTCTTCTTCTTCTTCCATGTGCCGTGCCTCTCTATATGAGGCTGACATTTTCAAACACTCTTTCCTCATTATGTGCCCCAATAATTTCAGCTGTCTCTTCCTGATGTTAAGTATAAGTGTCCTTTTTGTTGCCATTGTCTCTAGAACTTCATCATTGTTCACATGCGTTTTTCATGGCATTCTCATTATTCTTCAGTAGAATCATATTTCTGTTGCTTCATCTGTGAAGTTATTGTCCAGGATTCACTGTCATATAGGAGGATTGAAACTACATAACTGTTCAGTAAACTTTTCTTTGTTTCTAACAATATTCTTTTACATAATATTTTGTTCAGCTTTTGAAAGGCATCTTTCGATATCCTACTGCGCCGAGAACTGCATTCCTAAAATAAAATTAACAAAAACTTTGAAAAGTAAAATATGATGCTAATCTTGCTGTCACTTATAGCTAGCATCATACCGAGTTAAATAAAGAAAAAATCGGTTAGATTATGCTGCAAAAGACTGCATAGAAATTCAACAAAATATAACCACGAGAAAAGGGTGAGAGAGTATTTTGGGGGTCTGCTATTTATTGTCAGTGAGAGAACTTAATTAAAACGTCAGCATCAATAGAATTAGTAAAAAATCCCAAGATGTTTTTAGTAATGGAAGTAATATTCTGTCACTTGGTCTCCAGCTCGTGACGCCAAATATAATTGGTTGGCAAGTCATTTTTTAAAAATAATATTAACTAGTTTTAACCCGTGAAAATTTCACGGATTCCTTATTTGAAATTTCTGATGAATCGTAATTTTTCAGGTGATGATTAAATAAGCTTATGTTGAGTTCTATGACAATAAAATATCCGTAGAAATTTCACTATCGCATCGTTAAATATTTGAGCTTAAAAACTTTAACAAAATATTGCAATAACAATAATAAATATGAATGCAGGTCATTATTTTAAGAAGTACAAATGAAAAGATTTGAAATTAACAACTTTTTTCCATTTCACTGAAACGGACGTCCAACATATCTATCTTCCCTTCTTCTTTACATGTTCTCACTGAAACCAAGTAGCGTCTTTGATATGTCTTACCTTGTTATGCGGTCGAAACGAAATAGTCTATTATTTAGCGGGTCAGGAAGGGTTAAACACATCTTTTTTGAACTGAAAGCAATTAGGTCTCTTGTACGTATTTTGTCTTTCCACGTGATCAAAACGAAATAGTTCATTATTCATGAGGTATTGGCAGTGCATAGTGGTCGTGCGAACTAACAAAAGAAAGGACAATGAAAATTATTAAGGATCATACTGCTTTATTCATTAATAATTATAAGAAAAGCGACAAAGTACGTAAATACGAAGTCTGGTAAAAAGTATCGGGAGGTACTGTTGCAATGGTAATGGAGCTAAAGTACGCAGAGTGAAGCCGCCTGACACAGACTAACCTTGAACTTTGTCGCGTATGCGTACTAAGATATAAAGTTCTCACTCACTTCTCTTGTTTATAGATGTGCTTTGAAGGAAAGTGTGTAGAGTGTGGTTGCACAACATTCCTCGGGTGCGACAAAGATCATATTACACAGATCTTGCCCACTGTGACATTTTCCGCTTTCCAGGAATCAAATATCACTTGAAAGAATCAAGATTTCAAGACTTCGAAGAAATCCAAAAGAATACAACGAGGCAGTTGCTTGCTATCTCCTAAAAAATAGAGTCCAGAGATGCTTCCATCTATGGAAATAACACTGAGTAAATTGTGCGGATTCAGAAGGGAACTACCTCAAAGGAGATTAAATGCCGATTCGATATGTGTTGTAGTTTTCTTTTTGCAGTACCAACATCGATACTTTTCGGTTAGATCTCGTATAAACACGAATCCATTTTCGAGAACAGAAATGAAATTCTATTAGTGTTTGAAATTGAGGCAAAAAAGCGAATCTGTCAAATGAGGCATTCTGTTGTTCAAGCATAACAGAGATTGGGATTGAATGAGTGCGAAATGCGGAAATAACATCGGTAATGAAACTCTTTCTGTGTCGCGCTACTTCAGGACATGAACGTAGATGACACTCCAGACCTTCCTGTCCTTTTTACCTCTAAGCAGTTTTTTTTTACTACTTATGTTAAGGCTTCCAACATCCCCGTTCCACCATCCATTCAGACAAGCTCATCAAGTTGGTGGCTCGCAGCCTTCCTTTATCTCCTCTGCCCTTAATGTGCCCCGTGAAGGTTAAGTTTTCCAAACCCTCCTTCATTATTATAAGTTCCAAGAATTTCAGTTTTCTCTTCCTGATTCTGTGCATAAGTGTTCTTTTATGTCGCAACTTTCCTTAAGACTTCCTCATTGTTTACCCACTCTATGGAATTTTCAGCTCTGAACCATAAGACTGACGATAGTGCTAAATATTACTGGTGATCTTGGATTAATCATAAAATACTTTGAAATTTGAAGTCAAGGGGTTCGAAATAAGACGGTGACGGCCAAATCCTGCCAGTCGCGGATGTCAAATCCTGTGGTCCGTTTGTGGAGGCTGCTG